CGGCCGACGTGCTCGAGGTCTTCAGGATGCTGTACAGCTTTACGTAGGGGGCCTTGATTCCAGCCTGTCGGGCCCACAATAGAATCGGCCGCGTTTAGCAGATATATCCTCGTAGGATCGCGAACATCATTTTGTGATAAACCTCGGCGCGATCCTCGCGTCGAAAAAAAAAAATCGACGACAACCACCGTCAAATAGAGTGGACTTTGGTGTTACCATCGATAGCGCGATTCCGCGAAACATTTAACGTATCTCGCACTATTTGACAGCCGGTCGACACGAGGATCGGGATTATCAGCGAAAATAAATTGGAATGTTTGCAAAAGTTAAGTTAGGAAAAAGAGGTCAATGTAAGGTTCGAGATACAAATCAGATAATAATCCTTTTCTCCATTTAAAATCGAACTTGTACGTACTTGTACTCGAACTTGAAATTAACAATCTCGCATTGAATCGTAAAATCAATTTCTCTGCAAGGGGGCTTTGAACTCGAGATCGTCAAATCAGATATTCAAACATTTTCCTCAAATATTTCCTCCCCTCGAAACGTTCCCGTCGTTCGTTAACGAGCGAGACTTTCGAATTAATCTATTAAAATGGAGACTCAAGTTGCAGACAACAAGCGAACAGACTTGCGAACTATGTATAAAATTTAAAGTCAAAGTAATTAAGTTTGATCCACTTATCAAGGACAAAACTTCCAAGAGACTGTTTTTAAGCAGTGACTTTGTCTGACAAAGTCTCTACTTGGATGCTAGAAAAGAGCAACGGGGGGAGGGGAGGGGAGGGGGTGGTATCTCGCTACTGTTAATTCCCAATATCCACCGACGCCATCCCCGTGTCGCGCATCGACAGGTCGACTCACCTCCCAGGATTCCCTCGTCAACTCGCTGATGTCGTCGCCTTGGCCGTCGCGAGTCTTGCTCTCCTCCGTGGAATCCGCGCCCTCGCCGCTCTCGTGGGGCGACAGCTCCGGCGACAGGTCGGTGTCGGTGTCGGACAGGATGTAGCCGCGTTCCCGCCAGTAGTTCTCATCAAGCTCGCCGTAGAGGCTCGGCACCCACGCGTGGATGAACCTGTACAGATCGTCCACTCTGCAAAGAGAGAGGAGAATAGAAAAAAAAAAAAAAAATGGGAGATCAATCAGGAAACATCAATTATATGCATTTGTCCAGCTCGTTGTCGAGCCAGGCTCCGCGCGACGTTTCGCAATGCGTGTCCTTGTATCGCGACGCGAACAAATTGCAATCATGTGCCGTGTTTTAAGCTATATATTTCATTCGTCGAAACAACACGACATTATTTTTTTCCACGTGCTGATGAATTATAAGATAGAGAATTTCTGGAGAGCTGTACACTTCGCTATTTTAATCAACCGATTTATTGCGATAACGCATTATTTTTCAAGCTGGGTTTTTTTTACTACCTGTAAAATCTGGGAATTTGTCTACGCTTTGGAAAATCAGGGAATTTTCGAGAAATTTCATTCGAAAATTAAAGAATTTTTTTGAAGTTGCTTCTTTTGATATTTTGTTTTTCTATTAATTGAGAGTTTATCAAATGAATTGATAAGTGGACTCTAATTATCGAGGCATATTGATTTTACGATTAATCTAATATTCAGTATTGAGGATAACGATTTCGTGTTGCATGCAATTTTGTTTAACAAAGAATATTTATTTCAGTAATTTTTATAAAAGTTGTTTATACCCGTTATGTACTACGTAATTTTTTGTTTGTAATTTTTAAAAATAAAGTTTTCAAATTTTATGTAAAATAAAATATTTATTTTAGAATTCTTATGTTTCTTTTAAAATCTTTCAAGTTTAATTATTGAAAGTCGTTTGATTCTTAATTTTATTTTACAATTTATAAACTTTTACGAATGGAAAATATTAAGAATTTTGTATTTTGTACAACAAATATATATTCATTTGTAAGATACATTTAAAAATATTTTCATTTCTAGAATGTTTAATAAATTGTCTTGAAAAATCAGGGAATTTTTTTTCGAATTTGAGTAGACATCTTGTTTTTCTCCTCTTAAATCGCAAGTGAAGTTCCACTGGATTCTTTCTTAATCGACATGTGCAAAGAAATTCCTTGTGCATAAATATTAAGGACTCTCCACAATAAAAACATATTTATTTATACATATTTAAAAATTCACTTTGACGTAAAATTGTTAAAAACAAATTTATTTGAAAATCGGGAAATTCGCAGAGAACTTTTTTTGCGAGTTTAAGTAGACATCCTGTTTTTCCTCTCTTGAGTCGCGATGCGATATGCAGTTGGGTTCTTTTAAGCGACACGTGCGAAAAAATTCCTCGCACGATAGATGCGAAACCTTAGCCTTACCTGCGATGCAGGAAGGGCATCACGTTCGTCATCGTCCCTCTCACGTGGCGGTCGTAAATAAAATTCAGTACACCGCCGACCGTGTCTATCGCCCGATTCATAGTCGCGCCGAGGACAGGGGGGGGGGGGAAGGGCGGAGGGGAGTTGTGGCTCCAAGCCAACACGTCACGCGTCAGCCAGCTCCGAGTCACGGCCTAACGGCGCGCGTGCGCGCGCGCGCGAGACCGATCGTTCGTGCT